GAGGGAAGGCAGAGGAGGGAGGGGCGGAGGGGAGTGGAGGGCGGAGAGAGAAGAGCGGAGGGGAGGAGAGGGGAGGGGGGAGGGGGCGGAGGGGAGGGGAGGGGAGCGGCGGGGGGAGGGGGGAGGGGGGGGAGGAGGAGGGAGGAGGGGCCCCCCTTGACCAGGACTCCGCAGGAGAGCGAGCAGGGTGGCGGCGAGGACCTCCTTCGGGTGGCCAGAACAAACAAGCAACAGGCCTCGGAAGAAATTAGCGAGCACTCATGCCACATTCATCTGTCGATGCCCCCCCAGTGATCAACGTTGGCGGTGCCAACTTTGAGTTTGGGGGGCGGGGGAGGGTCCACTAACTATTTCCTCCGACCTAAGCAAGCAAGCAAACAGACTTGTCGGCCCTTGCCCCCCTCCTGCGCCACAGCCTGAGGCGCATCAGAAGTTCACTTCTTTACCTCTTGACAGGGCCGACCTGGCGTGAGCAACACTCTCCTGACCCCAGGGACGACCGTGCCTACAAAGAACGACCCAAGTCTCTTCTCTGCAGTGGCCAGGCGTCGTCGACGCACAGCGAAAAACACAAAAAAACAAAACTGTCGAGTTACAGCCCACCCCTTGGGACCCCACACGCATCATGGCACGGTGTTTTTGGAGGCAGCGGGTGAGAAGAGAACACAAAACAAAGCGCGCCTGGGACTCCTTTGGGCAGCACGCCTTTGTCGATCTGCCTGAAAGTGAGAAGACCGTCCTTGGTTAAGCGCGACGCACGAAGAACGCTTCAAACTCTTCGCGAAACACCGGCCTCTGGAAGTTTCAATGCGACGTGTGCTATGTATCTGGTACGGCCTGCCTGCGCACAGGGAAATACCGAACTCTGCCAGGCCAGCCGTGGAGCCGGTTCCTAAACGGGCCTGACCCAGTGAGGGGAGGTGCAGAAAGCGCCATCTCCCTGGGCAGCCAGTGCTGTCGCGTTGGCCCGCGGACAGGCCGCAACATCAAGCTTCAGGGTCGTCCCGTAAATATCGTCGGAAGTCTTGGCAATCTCTAGGGCCACCAGGGTCAGGCGCACTTGAACCCGCCAGGCTGACTTATCTGCTTCACGAACTTGAAAAACAAACGCATATGGAGGGGCAGATCATTATGCCACCTTGTCTGCTAGCTCATCTGCTGCATTACTGGCAAACCAGATGTTCCGCGGAGATCTGGTGTCCCATCGCGGCCTGAACTAAATGACTCATCACTTTCCTATAGGTGAAGGTTCCCTCGTGGACCGATGTGGCCCTCCACAACTCCTGCCAAAGATCTGGATTACTGAAAACGAATGGCTTCGGGGCCTTTGCGAACTCCTTTGACGGCATAAGATGCATCAACAAATACAACTGCGTTCCCTGTTTTTTTGAAGAGCTCTAATTACGGCCAGAAGCTCGGCCCTGGCACGGTTTGGCGAGGACGTGCAACACTCCCTCGCATGGATGCACGCACAACACCTCTGACGCAAACGGAGAACGACCATCTTCTCAGGCGTGCATCCCTGCCGTATTCTACCCCAGAGCCGTGGCTTCCTAGAACTGTATCAGCTGGGAGGATTACAGGACTGCCATCTTGGGTCCAGTCTCCTTCAAAGACGGTGCGCTCTTCAGAGGAAGGTTACCACCTTGCATGGTCCAGAGAACCGGGACCAACCCACAAAGCCATAAACACGGATACGATTGCGCACCGATTGTCACTTGCTCACACAAATCGTCTGGGAGATCAGGGGCGTCCTGGTTGCATCTACACTCCCGAGCTGGTGATACAAGGTCCCCGATGGTGCTCTACACCTCGGACACACCAGCGACCCTATACTATTATTATCAAATATCCGCTGTGCTGGCCACAGCGCTCCTTCACTTACCATCTCTAAAGCTGCCGCCATGTGATTCAAACCTTTCTTTCGCAAGATTTTTTCAAATGGGCCCAGGTCACAGCCAGATCAACGCCGAACTCGACCCCCGAGCCCTCGAAGTGTTTGCTGGCTTGGGCCTAGACGCTTTTTTCCAGCGAGGACCCCACTTCAAAACGAAGCGTGTCGAACCCTTTAGGGCAGTCGAGACTAAATTTCCCTCCGCAGGGGATCTTCCAATCTCCTGGGGTGTCTGGGGTCCAACTCATGTCTAAAAGTGTCGCCTGCACCGCGGCCAGGTGACAACCCACGTTGATCCAGCGGTGGTCCGTCGCTTGGAGCTTCCACTATCCTACCAGGCCTTGTCGGCGGCCTCGTGCCACTGCACTATCCTAGGGAGGTGTTCCTGCCAAGCCCGCAAAAGCTCTGCGGGGCCTCAGTAGAGAGAGCCCCTACCTTGCCCCCATCCTCCTCCTCCTCCTCCTCCTCCTCCTCCTCCTCCTCCTCCTCCTCCTCCTCCTCCTCCTCCTCCTCCGCCTCCTCCTCCACCACCACCACCAACCCCTCGTCCCCCTCTTCCTGGAGGGTAAAGCGCGCGTCTGAGTGCAAAACAAAACCCTCCTCCTCCTCCTCCTCCTCCTCCTCCTCCTCCTCCTCCTCCTCGTCCTCCTCCCCCTCTTCCTCCTCCTCCTCCTCCTCCTCCTCCTCCTCCTCCTCCTCCTCCTCCTCCTCCTCCTCCTCCTCCACTCCCCCTTCTTCCTGGGGGGGTTGGGCACCGCTGGATGCTGGCGTAAGTCTCGTGGATGCTGCGGGGAGCGCCCAACACGCAGACGGCCACCGATGCGTTGGCCCTGGACAGGGGCAGCGGACGGAGGTCGTCGCCGTCGGTGCCGCCGCCGTCGTCGCTAGAAGAGGACGAGGACAAGGAGGAAGGAGGGGACGAGAGGGAGAAGGGCGTTCCCTCCTGCTGTTCTTCCCCCAACTCACCCATCATCCTCCTTCTCCCTCCTCCTACCCTCCTCCTCCTCCTCCTCATCCTCCTCCTCGTCATCATCATCATCATCATCATCATCATCATCATCATCATCATCATCATCATCATCATCATCATCATCATCATCATCATCATCATCATCATCATCATCATCATCATCATCATCATCATCATCATCATCATCATCATCATCATCATCATCATCATCATCATCATCATCATCATCATCATCATCATCATCATCATCATCATCATCATCATCATCATCATCATCATCATCATCATCATCATCATCATCATCATCATCATCATCATCATCATCATCATCATCATCATCATCATCATCATCATCATCATCATCATCATCATCATCATCGTCGTCATCATCATCATCATCAGCAGCACCATCATCAGCAACATCATTACCATCATCAGAATCAGAGTCAGAATCGTCATCATCATCATCAGCAGCATCATCATCATCGTCATCATCATCATCATCATCATCATCATCATCATCATCATCATCATCATCATCATCATCATCATCATCATCATCATCATCATCATCATCATCATCATCTTCATCAGCATCATCATCAGCATCACCATCATATCGTCATCATCATGCTCTTCCTGCTGCTGCTGCTGCTGCTGCTGCTGCTCCTCCTGCTCCCCACACTGCTCTGAAAATGTGAATCCTTCGTCTCCTCATCATCGGCTGTCCCCTCCTCATCCTTCTCCTCCGCCTCTTCCTCCTCCGCCGCCTCCTCCAGGGGGTTAACGACGACGACGAGCAACAAAGCTTCCCCTCCTGGCTCCCGCGTCCGGGTCGGGAGACGAGAAGTCCGCGTCCATGTCGTAGCTCCATGGGACGCAGCTGGTCCACTCCCCGTGGCCCTCCTGGGAAGACGGGGCGAGGGAAGGAGCAGCGTCAGCATCAGCACAGTCGGAGCGTTGACCAAAGGAACCCTAAATAAGGAACGAGGCCCCTTTTTCCCAGGAGTTGAACTTCGATTTCCCCTGGAAAGCCTCAGGAGAACCTGAGGCAAACTGTTGAACAATCAAGGAACACCGAGCCCCTCCCCAACGAAAAGGGTTCCTTCTTCAGCACCCCGGCTGTACAGCTCAAGGGATCCATCGCCTGCCATTCCCGACACAGAACAACTTCGTGTGAGACTTGGATCCTGAAGGGCGCTCCCGCCGTGGTTGCCCGGTGTCCCACATGCCCCCGTGGGGGGGGGGGGGCATTTGGCCCCGAGGGGGGCATCCCGGAGGGGGGGGGAGTGTGCACCACAGAGAGGGGGGGGCAGGAGGAGGAGGAGGAGGAGGAGGAGGAGGAGGAGGAGCGCACGTCATCCTTCTTTGTAACTGGGAGGAGGAGGAGGAGGAGGAGGAGGAGGAGGAGGAGGACCAGCGTAAACCCAAGAGACGTCAACGATGTTGGAACTGACCCTCCCTCCAAGCTCCCTCTTCATAGGCCCCTACAACGGTTCATTTCCATGTATGGAACTGCCTCGCTGGAAGACAACCGTTTGAAGATCGGGAAGCATGCAAAAACATTGCTCTCGGGATTTCAGTGCCACGGATCAACCTGACTGCTGCGTCTTGAAGATCCGGAACCGTGCCAGAACGCCGTCTTGGGGACTTCAACACCGCGAATCAACATAACTGCTGCGCCCACATAACCCTGAATCTGTCCAAAACGCAGTATCTGGTACGCTGATCATGGGAATCCGTGAAACTCTGTCACATGTTTAAAACGACTTCGCTCGGCGAAAAGGCAAGAGCCACAGCTTGAAAAGGAACTGCCCTCAATCCGTGAAACGCTTGCAAATGTTTAGGACGAATATGCTCGGCGCTAAGGCGAGAGCCGCATGTTGAAAAGGAGCCGCCCTCAATGCGTGAAACTCCTGCAAATGTTTAAAACGAATGTGCGCGGCGCTAAGGCGAGAGCCTCATTTTGAAAACGACCCGCCCCCAATCCGTGAAACTGTTGTCACTTTTTCAGCGTCAGAGTCATAAAATGGTGAAGAAGTCTCAGGCGAAACGCCCGGCCCACGCTAAATTATCGATCGGGAAAAGGAGTGGAGGACCGGGAAAGAGGAGGAGGAGGAGGAGGTCGAAGATTTA